GATCGCGTTGATATCCATTTCAATCGCCTTGATCCTCTCAGTTTTGCAATTAACCTCCGCCAAAGCCTGTGCAACGGCATGGTTCGCAGCTCGCACGCTTTCATCCGACATGCTTCACTGCTTTCTCCGACTTTGATGGCTTTTGATGGTTTGATGGAAAATAACCTCAGCACTGAGGTTAACAATCTGAAACAGTAAAATATCAGTCTGAAAAATATAAAAGGATAGTTAGCACTATGTAAAATAATTTCATGGTTGAATATTACTCCACAATTCTATTTGCGTTCTAATAAAAACAAGAATTTGTTTCTTGAGCTGCTAGTAATATATTTTGATTTAAGACGAGATACAGATCTGAATATATCGTATGAATTTGAATTTATAGCAAATTCCTGAAATTTTAGTGAAAGATTTTGCAACCTTACGATAGGTATTGGAGCTCAAATTTTTCTTTAATCGTGAAGACGATCCAGAGCTCGCACTATATTTTCTAAGCTATTTACTTATATTTCTTTATGAAATGAAAGTTTGGAAGAAGAATCGCATTGTAAAAATAAACACCGAAACTCTCCCTCGCTTTCAAGTCATGTGGAACTGTGACAGGATAAACCGATCACATTCAGACGCAGCAACTTTTTCATGTGGCTTTGTATGTAAAGCTGCATCATAGAATGAACTTGAAACATTTAGACACATTTTCTAAGTGAAAATATGCTATATTTTTATAGTATCGATATTACTACGTCACCTAACAGTAACACAAGGAAATTTGTAGTTATGCTTCGACGGCATCCGACCCGGGTGGAAGAACGGCCTGACGTAGCGGACGAGTACGAAGCCTATCTGTTGGAGAAGGAGCAAAAGACTGGGAATAAGAGCAAGACCAGTCAGCAGCCGTCTTCAATTAGTGGTGCGGAAAGTGACGCAATGACGACACAGCAAGAAAAGCGACGACAGGAGATTCGGGCTCGCATTGGATTAAGCAGCTCTAGGTGACTGGCTAATTTACTAGCGAAGACTCATAGGAGGCAGACATAGTGCTTAACGACAAAATATAATACAGAGAGCTAGAAATTACTGAGGCGGAACGATCATCTGGACCGCTTTTTATTAGTAATCTTAATTAGTAGTATTCTTTTAGGAATACTACTAACCTACAAAAAATAACACAAGCTGGGATTTTTTGTGTCTCATGTGCTAATTGTTATTTAAACCCAGTTAGTTGTTGCAACTGCCCTCAGTCTTCGTGATGGTGTGGGAGGGTTCGTCTCCGTTGCTGCCAATGGCACACCGCCGTACACGAAATGCAAGCACCGGTAGTTTTCCAGAAACACATAAAGAAACTCAATCTGTCCCACCTGACTCGCCGCGCATACGATTTAAAGAACGGGAGAAGGCGATCTCCGCGCGCGTTTTAAAGCGTCCTAACCACCGAGCTTTGCGACGTGTTCCCGCACTGCTTGGATTGTTGGCCATGGGGTTTGTACTCGGCTACTACGCGCAATTGATTCTGTTCTTTTGTCATGTACGATTGGGTTTTACGGCTGAAGTTTTACCAACGACAGAGGTGACACTTAAGGAGAAGCTCACAATCTCGCTCATTGAGCGAACACAACGCGTCGTGTTCGTATGCAAAAAGACTAATTGGGACTTTGTGGGTTTTATTGCTAGTCCCCATACAATTTTATTTGCGCATGAAGATGTGGCTGTGCCAACTGCACTTGAAGAGAATTTACGAGTGGTGCGTCACTCAGGGGTCGACAGCTATCTGAATCTACACAACAAGACAGTGACAATCATGAGTCACATTCACACTGCAGATCCACAGAATCATTTGCTGAAACAAGACGATGAAGCTGTGATTTATTGGCCACATTACTACCAATGTCTTAAGAAATGCACGGATCTTGACTCCTGTTATGCTGGTGACATGCATGTGAACCTTGGAGATGTGGCGAATCTCAATTCGTACGTCTTTGCTACGGGGGGCTCATACTTTGTTGGGAGCAAACTGCTGAAATGCATGTTGGAGAAACCAATTTTTGTTGAATTAGATGGTCTTGATTACGGAGAAGACAAGACAGTGGGTAAGATGATTCACTACAATCGATGTAAGGTCCAATATGTGAGTTGTAAGTGGTTTAATAACGAGGAAGTATACTCACCAAATGCCCACATCAAGATGAAGAAAGGCGCGTCGGCTTTGATTCATAAAGATACGATTTTATTAGGCCAAGATGAGCAAATTTTGCAGAGAGAACGTGGGGATATGGTGCGTCGGCTGATGTCGGATGAAGACCAAGTAGCACCGAAAAGTATTCGGACCTAATAGATTTTAAAGGCTAAAATTACTTGTAGATTGCGGATTATCTATATCATTGAAATGAATTGGGTAAAGGTTATACAATAAGCGTGAATGGCTTTATTTTCTGTTACAAACAAGCTGCAGAAAACGTCAAGTTCGACGACAGATTTACTAATGTCCTTTAGATGACACGCAAAGTAAAGCAGTACCTGTGAAACAACTTTATGTGTCCTAGATCTTGTCGATGTAAATAATTGTGGCCATATGGCGGCTTCACCTAGTGCTGTCGCTGTGACTTAATTTGTGACAATGGACAAGTGCTGGTTTGGGATTTACATCTGAATATCTTAGATGTTACCATGCGAAGATGGGTCGGTCACATTTGATGTGCCTTTTGTGCACTAACTCTGACGAATTGGCACTACAATCACGAGTAAGTAAAGAGGTTAGTGAAAGTCAATTGTCACTAACAAGCAAATTTGTTTGTAATACTGAAAAAGGCTAGTTTATCTACGTAGATTGGCGTCTTCATGCTTTATAGAAAGGATGCGGCAGTAGAAGTGCCAAAGCTTGGCGAGGGGATTTAAGAAGTGTCGAAGAATTTAACTGACTACTGCCTGGCAAATATGGACTCCTGTTTTAAATTCGTTCGCTCGACTGAGCGCGTTTCTCGATTGAGTCTTGGTCCCGGTGACCACGTCCCTGCGGGATCTACAACTCCTTGAGACTTGACACCCAAGTCAAAGCACCATCTAAATGCCCACCGTGGCTTTTACAGTGTGAAGACATCCAATAGCAACTTGGTGTCACTACAAGACTATTACTAAACACTATGGATCCCAACCGCAACCAAGGGTCTTCTCTCGATAGCACAAGCACCGGGATTAAATTTTCTTAAGCAAGGAGCATTAGAAAAAATGCAACGACTTCTCAGCTTCATCTCCTTTTACTTGTTTTTTAGGACGCAGAACCACAACTGGCACTATGCCAACGATCACAACAAATCACACTGTCAAGAAGCTCATAAAGCTTTTATCAGCAAAGGCGAGTTCAATCGAGAACTACAATTAAGACAATCGTCGAGAACGGGATATATGGCCGCTTACTTCCGTCTTAAGCGAGGTAGACTCTACCTGAAGCTGTCGCTATCTTTTTCGTCACCGAGACTCGGTGCTGACAGAGCCCTTAGCTCCCAACTTTTTGAGCATGGCTCATAGAATTATAAATACTAGTTATTTCGATCACGAACTCATATCTTGAATTCAGGTCTGAGACCACTAAGAGTTCCATGCTATCAAAGGCTTGAAGCCAAAATTTAAGATCAAGTTGCCAACGACATGTCTTTGCCGCATGGGCGCACAGTCAAAGGGTTCATGAGTGACATGATTTTTGCCTTCGCATTTTTTTTTACTGTTTTTCAGCAGCATTGCATCGCACATAGTTCAACGACGCCCATGAATTCAGAAATGCATTACGTACATCCCGATGAATGAACCGGACTAAAGCGTCGCAATTTTGAGTCGGATCTGGTGACCTTGAGCTCAACCATATCAAAAAATGTTAGCCATTTCGAGGAATACCCCAACGCGTACTGGGGCTCGGCAAGTTCCCAATAAAGGTCTATCGGTGGGTCTATTTGCGAGCACACCCCAATTCTGTTACTCTCTTTTTCCGAGCAGGACTTGTTTGCTGAACCGATCTATCGAAATTGCAGGGGTCATGTCGGGCGTGAATATATAGTTTGCAGAATCTGCGGATACCAAGGCACTGTTCAGCAACTGAAAGTTCACAATTTTCCTTCTCCTCTTAGCCAAAATTCACTGCTTTTGGTATGTTGACATGGCTTGATTCTCACATTCCAACAAACATCAAAACTGTGTTTATACTGATCGAACCGTTCACCGCTCTCTCGGAGATGTTATCGCACGCGGAAGGTTTCGGTGCGATCCGTACTCAAACAAACATCCTACATGAATGCGGGAGCTGTCGCATCCGGCGATAATTCGTGACTCACAGCTCTTAGCCATAGGCCTTCTCGTCTTAAGGGGTAAATTAAAGCAGAGTTACTTGCAGTAGGCTAAAGTACGCGGTGCAAACATTCGCATCAATTGCTACATTACTGTTTTTGGTATGAAGAATTCCTCATTTCTTAAGAACTGTGTGATATCATGCGTAACGCGCTACTTTTGTATCCGGAGATTTTATCCATCGTTGACCGGAAAGGTCTTGCTCTATGGAGCTCAATGGTTGCAGGAAGTACTTTTGCCTTGTCTGATCAAGGTGTCTCACTAGCACGTTCTCGTAGCTGGCAAAATCCTCCAGACAAACAATCACCACTTCTGGGCTTTGTGCCATCGGGATGTTTGTTATTTCGGGGTCGAAAAAGTGAGCTTTCAAAGTTTTATGATCTTTCGAGAACAGTCGTCGGATCCGACAAGTGTTACAACGTACGGCAGAGAAATCTCTTCGTTTGCACAACCGGCGTTACTAATGTATAGAGAAAAGTTGACCGCTTAAAGGACAAGAAATCCAGAGCCATCCAAGTGCTCATCTAAATAATCTTCCTCACCTTTTTAATTATTAACCACGGTTTCGGATCGGTGCTAAGCCAGTGCTTTTCAAATTCGCTCCTAGGCCGAAGGACAGTGGTGTGATCAGTTACATATCGCATTACAAACACCATTACCTCGAAGTATTCGGGAACGAATTTTATGCACGAGATGCCGTTAGCACTCATAGCTCGCATTTAACTCATGAATTCCTTTCTTGCAACCAGGAAGCTCGATCCATCATTCGCCGTATTGCGACATATAATTTTTCATAGAATGCATCGCATCCTGGCGATTTGCCCCACTCGCTCCTATCCAACCTGTACACTCACATTGGACAGTCAAAGTGCCTTCGAGTTGCCCTTCCAAAATCAGAGCTGCATACATGGCCAGCTCCAGCTCACAGACGCAGTCGTGGATGCTTACTTCGGTTTGTTCTGGGTTTGGACATGCTAACTATAAAATTAGCTCACAAATATAGTGTTCGAACGCCTGACCTGATAAATGAGATCCGTCAATTATTCTGATACAAATTATCCTACTCGCGTCTGCTTTCATTTACCTAATCTGATGAAAAGATGAGTTGGTTAGCTGCAGTTCACGTGCTTGCTGAAGAAAGATCAGTTTTTTTAAGCGAGTATCTGCCTTGTATCAGATTCTCTCCTTAACGTTCTCACCCTACCGCTGTAATTTCCGTTATAGCTAGTTCAAAGTGTGACCCTTTTAGACAGAATCAAGTGTTTTCTAAGCCTTTGTGTGTTTCATACACCTCACCAACTGATGTATCCGCACTTCCATAAGTGATCCGAAAGGTGATGCTTGAAATCCAACCTGTCCGTGCAGCATCGCCTTTCAGATTTTCGCCATCATTACAGTGGAATTACTCTTTACTCTGTGGGTCATTTGTGGAAAGAGCCATATTGAATATATAAAACTACCGTCTACGGCTTAGGATTGAGTACAAGTGCTAAATAATCGGAAAGCCTCGCTACACAAGAGGTTGCTCGTGATTGTGTTACAAGTTATTGATCTGCTTTGAGTGCACCTTCAAGGTGCATCTCATGTATCCAACACAGGCGATCGGATCGTCTTGTTTGCTCAGTTGATTCTCTGGTAAATTTTTGTAACGAACAAGTTTTTTCAAATGACTTAGGTTTGATATGTGGTAGCTCATCTAAAATTGTTTATGCAAAACTTGCAATCACGTCTTACGTCGTAAATTGATTTTCCAACGAACAGGATGCCTGGAATTCAAATACCCGACTAACACCTTGAACGAGAGTGGCCATAAGTGCAAATTGCGATTCTGTAATATCGCGGTTTATATCTGTTTGAACGCAGCAAAATGTACCAACTGTGGTAATGCCGTCGTTACCTGGGTAAGATATTTGAACTGGAAATCCGAAATAAAAGCGCAGACCGTCATGACGCACCAAATTCATCGCCGTGAAGCGTACGTCTGCCTCTGGGTACTTAAGAAGAAGTGGATCTCCACTCATAAGAGTATGGCCACAGATCGTTTCGTGACGAGGGATCTCAACATTGCGCCAAACAGGATCGGTGGACGCTACCACGTAGCACGTGGTTGCTCTAAAAACGGTTACTAGCACTGCATTGCACTGAAATTCTGCGAGTGCAATATCACACAACAACTCAAGATCAGGCAGATTCATTAAACGCGACATGATATTTGGGTGCGATTCAAGCCATCGCAAACGCGCGCCTTCATCTGATGGTACCGGATAGCGCGATACATACGAAATCTTTTGCCGAGCTTCGCTGTCTAGATATTCTTCAGTCCCGTCACTCGTATCCGTCTCGTCCGAATCTTCATCGTTATAGTCTTTGATATCTGTATACTGCAGCGCGTATTGGCGCCCTGAGGAACCTGCCAGTATAGGACGCTGTTCTTTTGTAGGAGTTGGAACTTCCGGAGTGACTTCTGAATTCAGGTTCCGCACATTGATTTCTTCCGCAAATCCTTGTTCTGTGGCCAGTCGACCCAGGTTCTGGATTAACTCGGCTGAAGCAGCAGAATACGTGCTCTTTATTTCCTTGTTGGGACCAAGCAAGTACTTGATGACACGAATGACAACTGGTTTTTCTTCGTTGGAAGCGTTGGCAAGCACTTGACTGAGCACCCGCGCGATCACTGAACTGGACGTTTCGGCATCGGGACTATCAGGTTGAATTGCTCCGGTCGGCGACATACTGCCATTTGACGCACAGTAGCTATCGTAATCGGCGTCGTCTACGCGCTGCATGCAGTGTTCACACAAATATATAGTCCGACTGTATTTGACACTCTTGCTCGACCTTTCCAGCAATTCCATCGACATTGCGCGATTGCCAACAGTGCACACACACCGTGCGCACACTAAAAAGGCACAGAGATGGCAGCGTTTAGGACCCTGTGTACTCTTTTCCGTGCTTCTTTCACTTAGACCACTAAGTCGACACTTTTTTACTCTGACACGACGCGTACAGCACGCGCACCGATTGTTGCTAGGCTGCACCTTTTGCAAGTCGGCAAAGACCTGCGCATCCAGTCGTCGTCGACGTACAGCGACATTAAACTGTTTGAGTGTACGAGCATATTGCACGGCACGGGCCAAAACGACTCCATTTGATGCGCCATCGGCTTCTTCACGGTTTGTCACCATTTTAAGCCACCGCAGCGGGGATTTTCTATTTGAGCCTGGGGTTGACGCTACATCGGCGCAAAAGGTGACTCGAACAGCTCGTTTCGAGCGACCCTGCTTTCTTCTTCTTGGTACTTCAGGGGTGACGAGGTAGAGCGCCGACATTCCTTGTATATGAGTCACACACGCCGCTTGGGCTTTGCCAGTGAATACGTCATCTGGATGCAACGATGCTAGCGTGACCGTGAATCCCTTTTCTTCTTTGCTACTACTGCAGAGCTCTAAAGGTTTGACTGCACTTACAAAACACAATTGTTCGTTCCGCGCGAGGATATGGCGCTTTGCAAATGTGACGGTCCGAACTGACACGCTCTGAGTCGTGACTTCGTTGGCGTTGTGTACGATGGTGCCATAGATGAAATCTTGACCCATTAATTCGCGCATCACACTAGCGTAGCGATCGGTAGTAGGTGGAACCAGAAGCGCTTGAATCTCTTTAACCGAGCAATCGATGATGCAAGTTGCAGTGACAGCAGTACCGTCAATTGAACGCTCTTTCATTACACCTGTGGCCTCAGAACGACGATGCAGAAGTGTTCCCAAATCAATACGAGCCGCAGCCTGTGCCGCCACTTCCGCTAGTCGGCGGTCACTTAGCCGAACGTAACGTCGCTGATCACTACCATCAACATTCATCATGACTGCAAGAATGAAAGTTTGAAATGTCTTGCATTTCTGGACTCAAATAGATTCACTCAACGATAGGCAGCCAGTCGCCATGCAATTTACGGTGGGACTCAAGAAAAACTAGTGAGATGGGAGCCTCTTTCAATATGTCGAAGGTGTCGAGACTACATAAGTATACAGGTACAGGAACAGTACTGAACCAGATTTGGGCCTTGCAACATATAGATATTAAAATTGCACAGTGAAAGTTCCATAGTCCTTGTCAAGTCGCGCTTGAAGTAATTCAAGTACTATCCTACTGATGCTTTTCGCAAACAGTCTTAAGATCTGCTGATGCTAAATTAAACAAGAACATAGTACACATTCCACTGTCTCCAACTATGGCGCTTACAAAAATTGAATATCAAGTAGCGGGATCAGAACATGATACTCAGAAGTTTCTAGAGTGTCGAATTTTTTTTTCGCAACACTTAATATTTCTCCTAATATCAATTTATTACACATAAATTTTCTTGTGGATCAGAACAAAATACAGTAAGTATCATATAATTTATCCAGTCTTGGTACCCTTGAACATAATCGAACTGTCTGCACTGGCCGATGATCACAAAAAATAGACGTCGTGAAATTGTGTAAAAAACATCATGATCGGATTCCGTTAAGCACAGAGGACTTCGTTTACTGACAAAACTGATATGCAAAAGTTACTGTTATTTGTATTAACCCTTTCTTGAAAGCTATCTGCATAAAAAATGCATAAAGTGTAATATAAAGTAGAAGTTATATTGAGGAAATCGGGATTATTGTTATATTATTTCTGCGATGTTTGAGCAACTTGTAAAATTTTAGACCGACTGATCGTCTAGGCAGGTGTGTCACCTTCAGGTACGTGGCATCTCTATAGCAATCTCTTGTTGATACGTGCTCTTACAAAAAAATGAGTGTCAACGAATTTTGGTGTCAATGATATAGAAGGGACTACAAGGTTAGCAGGTTGAACTTAGAAAAGTCCATTTCTGTGGTGTAAGTGTTCCATCTGGCAGATAATTGTGAATAAGATTAATATAGAGCCACACCCATCAAATCCAGATGGTATGGACAATGCTTGCGCTGAACCACGACGTGGAAAACAAAAGTATATTTGGTGCTAATAATCAAGGTGTACATGGAGCTGCAGCATACTTGACTAACTTTATTGTATCGCATCCTGAATTTTAATTACAGTGACTTGTTATGCTTGTCAGCCAAGCGCAAAAAGTCGGTATAAAGTCAGACCTTAATTGAAAAACACACGGTGCTAGATTCAACATGTACCTCGCCGTAAGCCGAGTCGTTATTAGCAGGGCAAGCAATACCACTATGCTCGCTTCGTTTTGTCACTAGCATATAGTTACCACCTTCTTACTTCCAAAATTTAGTGACTTGTACATTTACTATATCTTGTGTACACGTCATCAACCGAGTCTTCTACTATCTGGCTTGATTCTCCATTTTTTGATAAGTGTTACCTCAGAGCGATTTTATGCATCACTTTCATGCGCCAGCAATTTTTCCATTCAGCAGCTAATTTATAATCTTTTGTCTTGTCCAATAATTCTTAACAATTGGAAGCATCAAGTTGTGGGCAGTTTCCTGTACAAGTGCTAAATGCTCACAATGTTATGATGATATAATGAGGGGCAAAGCGAATAACTGGAGCTTTCGGGGGAAAAGCGTCCTCATTCGAAAGTAGCCCTCTGCGTGAAGAAAAAGAAAAGCCATTTTGCCTACATTAAAAGCACTACCAGCAGCTAAAACCCGCTTTTTCTCTTCGAGCACACTGCAAGGCGGCATCATCATGATGAAGCAAAAACAAAGGACGTGAGGTAAATTTACACAATAGCGTATTCGTTTTCTGTCCAGAGGACAGGTCTCACGTCGAAACCCAGGACTGGAGGACTTCATCTTTGACAGACGTCATTCTGCATGAAAATGCAGCTGAACGGAAGAAGGCTCACATTACGTGGAGCGGATCATTATCCTGGTCAAACGATAGTTTAAACTCTTTTGATGTTCCAAATGCATTTGGTGTAAAGATGGAGATCGTCGACATTTTGTTTTCATTTCTAGTGATACAGAGGAAAACATTAATGAGCTGAGAGCTAAGAAGCGAAAAATCTGGGTAAGAATTAAATTTTAAGCAAAAGTGGATAAGTACCAGCGGCATACACTATTCCAACTTGAGCTCAAAGCGTCATAGATACATCGCTCATTTCGAGACAAATAGTACCGATTGACGAAGTCGCTTTTAAGGCGGCCGCAAGCCGTACTCCTTTAAAGCAGGAATCTCTGGAATCAGGAAGACGCTCCCAGACTAAGCTCGGATCTCTGTCGCTGGTGAAAAACAGCTTTCGACAAATCGGACCGACGTAATATTGTCAATAGTGATCTTACTGAATGTTAGTAATCATCGGGTTTGTAGACAAGTTCATCGACAATGATGCCAACCCCGTAGCTGAGCGCCTTTACACTACTCACCAAGACTGAGACTTTTTAGAATCACAAAACGTACGACTTATCGTGAATCTCAGTAAACGCATCCCATTGTGAGCTTTAAGGGCCAGAACCCCGCTAGGACATCTCTTCAGCTGATAACAGGAACGCGCAGCTCGACGATTCACCAAGAAGGTTGCGACTCTGAAGTTGTTGTAAGATCGATGAGAATGACGAGGTGTTCTCTAATGAGAGTAGTTGGAGTGACTGCTCGCGTCCTGACGCATCATCTATGTAACGGGGTTACATGAGAGTGACCCGTCACTCTCCCAAGGGAGCTGTGGTGT